AGTTAGTGAATTCGGTTAAATAATTGTTAAAATATTTGTGTGTTTTTAGCTTTCTTCCTGTATGGGAAGCTTTTTAAAATGTGAAACATTAGTGCAGTGGTTTATGTTAAAATAAACCTTTGGGTTAAGTTTTCGCAAGCAGGTTTTTCTTGTGTTTCTTGTGAATTTGGTCTTAAATTTTTATTTCGAGTGGCATTAAAAAGTCTTAAAAAGTCTTGAATTTAACTCTCCTTATGCTGTAGGAACCCTGAGCTAGGTTAATACCGCGATCAAAGACATCTTTTTATGGAGACTGGGCGCCTCCTGAGGGAAGCATCTTTAATCAATGCCTCATAAAGGCATTACGCTGCCGTGCGTTATGCAGAAGTCGTTGGACAGAAGTTCTGGACTCGTTATGAATACTCTATGTATACGCCCAAAATAGAAAAAAATCCATAGAAAGTTCAGCGTATGCCAGCGTTTTAGGAGATTCTGGGACGTCAGGCAGACGCTGGATAAATCATCACTGTGTGACATGAGCTTTACTGAGACATTCCAGGACTTTATAAACTATTTTACTCATTTTTTATTAACACATTAACTCATTTATCTTCACAGCATTTTACATTAAAACATGAGCTTTGCTCATCAGTGGGACATATTTTCAGTGTGGAAACGGGCGAGTTGGTCTCATATCTCTCCTCTGCCCCTCCAGCCAGTCAGTGCTTTTAATACGGTTCCAATTAATTTAGTAATCATTCTTGCTTGTTGGATCTTAGGCTCATACATGGACTATAGTGGCAGAAGCAACAGAAGTGATGGAAATATGTCGCACAGTGATTCTCAAGGAAGCAACGACACAATCAAGATCCCACCTCAGTTTGCTCCTCATTTCAAACCAAAGGTAAGACCAGAAACACGTGGCCTGGTTCTGCTGCTCTAACAGGAAAAGTAGCGTCTAAGTTTGTCATCTTTTTATATATATTTACTGTGGGAACAGAAAGTGGTATTTCAGTTTTTCTTTTTTATTAAATATGCAAAAATGTCTAAATTTTTTTCCTTTTTCTTTCAAGATTAGGTGCCGAGTATAAATTAATGAGGAGCAAAATGAACCTTATTGATTTTAGCAAATGGCTGCAATGAAACAGTGAAAAATGTAATACTTTTTGGTACTGGCTGAATGTTCTGGCTTCATTGTCTTAAATAGAAGATAAAAGAAGAACTACAATTTAATTTGGCCCAGATTCTTTTTGAAGTTGTAGGGAAGTCGTATTTAAATCCAAATCATTCTTGCTTAAACATGTTTATAAATGTACTCTTTATCAGACCATATTGCCCCAAAATTTAGAAAATTTCTATTTAAAGAAAAAAATCCTGTCTTAAAATGTGTGTTTCTTTTTCGTTTTTCTTATGCAGGCCATTTAAACCTTTAAAAACTGCAGGTTAGTCGTACAGTGTGAGCTGTATCTGCGTGCAACGATTGAAAAAATCCCACAGTGTACGCCCGACTTTAGCTTCTGTATTATAAGGTCCCTTTTCAGAGCTAGACTAAAGATAAAATAATGATTAAAAATGGTTTAAAGTCACAGGCTCTAAGCAGACGCTGCTGTAATGATCAGACTTTGATGCCGCGCTCACATCAGCCCATGTGTGCATCCCTAGTTCTGATCAAATCCTGTCTGCGTTTCACTCACAGGTTGAACCGTTGAGGCCTTGGCCTTTATCCAGAGGGGGGAGCGTTGAGAGCCTTCCAGCTAGGATTCAGTGCTTTCAAACCCCCGACAGCAAACGAATGAGCGCCGACCTGTCTGAGCTGGATCCCACAATGCAGTTTGCACCCACAGGTACAGCCACACAGAAACAGGAAGGAAAACATATACGTTTACAGTGTCTGCTTTGGAAGATGTTGTTTTAAAGATTTTCCCTCAGACCTTACAGGTCATGTTTTAGAGGCTCAGACCAGCTGCAGTTTGAAAGCTCATCATCTGCTCTGTTGTTTTCTAGGCTTTGATGATGCTTTAACAAACCCTTTCTGTGGCTCTCTCCAGAATGTCCAGTATTGCAGCCTTCTGATGTTGTGCTCTATAACATGTCACAGTTTGGCTCCACTGCTCCTGGAATGGGCAGGGTGCATGTGTTTTGTTTTTTCCTGCAAGTGCCCTTTCTGCTCTGCATGTACATGACCCATGTCAGCAGTCATGCTGCGGGCCTGAAGCCTGTCTCAGTCTGCATGGTTGTTGTGTTCGCTGCTGTATGTGTGTATGTGTGTTTTTGCAGCACGCACCCCGTATAAACGAGGCCATCGCAAAACCGCGTCATTCGGGACCATTTTGGATGTCCCCAAGATCGTCGTGACAGGTATCACTGGACCACTGGGCTTCCCGGTGATTGGGTGCAGCTTGCTTGGCCGAGCCTGTGGTTTGCTGTGAGCTGCTTCTCCTAGCTCTTTGGTGGTCTGGCTGATGGCAGGGTTGGTGCTGGGGGAAGCACACGTCAGGCGTCTCATGCCTCCTCGCTTTCTGGTTTCACGTCTAGATGAAACGAGCAGAAACACGAGCTAATGTTGAGCTTTCTCATCTGAAAACCTAAATCTCTAAGATCGGTTCTAGCTGGCTCTCACTTCTAATCATTAACTGGAACATCCAAGCACTGCCTGTGAGTAGATCTCTATAAATCAAGATGAGATGACTCTGTTAGCTCGTGGCTCTGCTCTGTTATCTTCCTGTCTGACTACAACAAATCATGAGCATAAGGAGTAAATCAGCTCACCAGGTTCTTTGGAACTTGTCCTTGACTTTCATGCATAAAGGACCAAGATAAAAGCATGGCTTTTTTTCCTCTCCCATTCTCTCTGCACATCCATTAACTTTCCAAAAGTCATCTTGATTAATTTCCCTCACTTTGAGGGTCAGAGCTATTATTATGAGCAGAGATATGAATATGAAGGAATGGGGACAGCTCTGGATGTCAGGAAAGGCTTCAGCTCATCGGAGAGGCTCTGGATTCCACCCGTAGAAGGCAAAGATGGTCAAACAGTTTGTCACTGTTTGAAAATTATTAACTTATGATACCAATGTTGGTGCTGCAAGGAAAGAAAGATATAGGAATCTACTTTTTGAGGAAAATTAAACAGTAAGATTGTTTCCTTATTTAGTGCAAACCAATAATAAACAAAGAAGATGATATCATATGTTGCTTTAACCTGTCTTCCCTAATAGGAACAGGGTTCGCCTCTTTAAGTACAGCCAACCTGCTCGTTAGGGGCAGCGACTAGATTTGATTTAAGCCTAATTGATGTTTGTTGTGATCTATATTTAGAAAATCGATCTGATTTGATTTCTAACTGTGCTATCATTGGTTGCTAGAGGTGTCAGTGGAAGGGGCGTGGCTTCCCTCAAACAAAGCAGCAGCAAAACAGATTAAACTCCAACAACAATAACAGCCGTCAGTCATTGGTGTTTTATTTTAAAGGAAAAGTCAGTTCAGCTAGGAATAATCAATGGATCATTATTTATACCTAAAACTAACACGTTCGCTGTAATTTAATAAATTTAGTGTTAATCAGTAAAAAAATAAAAAAAAATAAAAATACTTTTCATTGCGATCACTGAGTCTGGGAGC